ATGGTGTTGGACTGCTTATTGTTGGTTATGAATATGGGCCCTCACATTTTCCAAACTTGTCTATCTGCTAACTATTTCGACTGTAGAGCTATGTCCATTGGAACTTGTTTTCAATGAGCTCGTACTTACTTGGTGAGACATATGTCTGGGTTTATGGAGTGCAATTTGAATGAACTGGTTAAACATGGTCTGCGTGCCTTATAAGAGACACTGCAGAACAGGACTTAACTACAAAGAATGTGTCCATTGGAATTTTTAGTAAAGACTTGGAGTTTACGATTTATGATGATGATGATGTATCTCCATTCCTGGAAGGTCTTGAAGAAAGACCACAGACAAAGGCACAGCCTGCTCAACCTGCTGATGAACCTGCAGAAAAGGCTGGTGAACCAATGGAACATTAAGTCATAAACCAGTCCTTATGCATGTTATCAAATGTGTAAGAATTTAGGATCCTGTACTGATGACAATAATCTATACTTTGCACCAAAATATGCAGGGTCTTATGGTATGTTTTAGGAATCAGTCCAGATGTGAGTTTTTTCCAAGCAACTTCTCTGAAACTATGTAATGGTGTACATTTTTCTTTGAGAGTGTCTATATAATCATTTTCTAGAAAGTATAATTATTTGTACTAATGTTTTTGTATGAAGAGCATAGTGTCTGTGTGGTTTTAAAGACAACTATGAAATAAAATTTTTTCACTTGCCAAAAAAAAAAAAAAAAAAAAAAAAAAAAAAAAAAAAGACACGTTGAACCATAGACGTAAATGTAAAATCTCTAAGTATAACTCCTAGAAGAATACATAGGAGAAAATGTTTGTGACCTTGAGTTAGTCAAAGTTTGCTTTGGAAGAAAGAAAACATTGATATATTGGACTAAGGAATCTTGTTCTTTGAAAGACACGATTAGTAGAAAAAAAGACAAGTCACAGAATTGGAAAAAATATTTGCAAACCACCTATCTGATAAAAGTTGTAATCAGAAGACATAAAAATACTCAAATCTCAATAATGAGAACATAGACCAATAAACTTTTAAAATATGGTCAAAATATTTGAACTGCTAGAGAAGACATACTGAGTGCAAATAAACTCATGGAAAGTTGCTCAAAATCTCTAGTCATTACAAAAATGCAAGTTAAAACCATAATGAGATACTATTATATACCTTTTGGAATGGTCAAAATTAAAGATCTAGACTCTCCAACCCTTCAGAGAGTGGAATCTATTATTTTAATTTTTTTTAATGTTTATTTATTTTTGAGAGAGACACAGAGTGTGAGGGGCAGAGAGAGAGGGAGACACAGAATCTGAAGCAGTCTCCAGGCTCTGAGCCGTCTGTCAGCACAGTGCCTGATGTGGGGCTCAAACTCATGAACTGTGAGATCATGACCTGAGCCGAAGTCAGACACTTAACTGACTGAGCCCCCCAGGTGCCCCTGGAATGATTAAAATTAAAAAGACTGAAAACATGAAGTGTTGATAAAGATGTGGAATAATTGAAAACTCATATACTGCTTGTGGGAATATAAAATAGTATAACTACTTTTTAATGGTTTTTATTTAAATTCCAGGTGGTTAACATACAGTGTAATATCATTTTCGGGTGTACAATATAGTCGTTCCACACTTCCACAAAACATCTTAATCCTTATCACCTAGGTAAATACCTAGTAGTACAATTGCTGGATCATAGGGTAGTTCTATTTTTAACTTTTTGAGGAATCTCCATACTGTTTTCCAGAGTGGCTACACCAGTATGCATTCCCACCAACAGTGTAAGAAGGTTCCCCTTTCTCCACCTCCTCACCAACACCTGTTGTTTCCTGTGTTGTTAATTGTAGCCATTCTGATTGGTGATATCTCACTGTAGTTTTGATTTGTATTTCCCTGATGATGGTACTGGCACAAAAATAGACACGTAGTTCAGTGGAACAGAATAGAAAAAACAGAAATGAACCCACAACTATATGGTCAATTTATCTTCAACAAAGCAGGAAAGAATATCTAATGGAAAAAAGATGGTCTCTTCAACAAATGGTATTGGGAAATTGGTCAGCAACATGCAAAAGAATGAAACTGGGCCACTTTCTTTTAAAAACATTTTAATAATGTTTTTATTTATTTATTTTTGAAAGAGAGAGAGCTAGCAGGGGAGGGGCACAGAGAAATGGAGGAAGAGAATCTCAAGCAGTCTCTGCATTGTCAACACAAAGCCCGAAGCAGGACATGAACCCACAAACCGTGAGATCATGACCTGAGCCGAAATCAAGAGTCTGAAGCTCAATCAACAGTCATAGGCTTAACTGACTAAACCACCTAGGCACTCCTGAAACTGAAACACTTTCTTACACCACATGCAAAAATAAATTCAGAATGGATTAAAGACCTAAATATGAGACAGGAAACATCAAAATCCTAAAGGAGAACATAGGCAGTAATTGCTTTGACATCAGCCACAGCAACTTCTTACTAGATATGTCTCCTGAGGCAAGGGAAACAAAAGCAAAAAACAAAAACAAAAACAAACAAACAAAACTATTGGGACTTTATCAAAATAAAAGGCTTCTGCACTGCATAAGAAACAATCAATAAAACTAAAAGGCAACCTACAGAATGGGAGAAGACATTTGCAAATGACATGTCTGATAAAGGGTCAGTATCCAAAATATATAAAGAACTTATAAAACTCGGGGCGCCTGGGTAGCTCAGTCAGTTAAGCGTTGGACTTCGGCTCAGGTCATGATCTGGTAGTTTGTGGGTTAGAGCCCCGCGTCGGACTCCGTTCTAACAGCTCAGAGCCTGGAGCCTGCTTCAGATTCTGTGCCTCTCTCTCTGGCCCTTTCCCACTCACACTCTGTCTCTCTCTCTTCCTCAAAAAATAAATAAACATTAAAAACAAACCAAAAAAAGAACTTCTAAAACTCAATACCCAAAAAACAAATAAACCAGTTTAAAAACGGTCAGAAGACATGAATAGACATTTTTCCAAAGGAGACATCCAGATAGCCAACAGATATATAACCACTTTTTAACAGTTTGGTAGTTTATTTTAAAATCGAACATTTATGGGGCGCCTGGGTGGCTCAGTCGGTTCAGCGTCCGACTTTGGCTCAGGTCATGATCTCGCGGTCTGTGAGTTCGAGCCCCGGTCGGTCTCTGTGCTGACAGCTCAGAGCCTGGAGCCTATTTCAGATTCTGTGTCTCCCTCTCTCTCTGCCCCTCCCCTGTTCATGCTCTGTCTCTCCCTGTCTCAAAAATAAATAAACGTTAAAAAAAATTAAAAAAAAAAAAAGAAGTGTTTCCTTCACTAGCCAAATTGTGACCTGTGACTTCTTAAAAAAAAAAAAAAAAGATAAAATCGAACATTTACATACCACGTGACCCAGCCATTCCAACCTAAATATTTACTCCAAAGAAATGAAAGCATAGGTCTACAAAATAAGTCATGAAAAAGTAAACAAACATTCATAGCAGTTTCAGTTGTAACAACCCCAAGTCCAAAGCAACCCAAATGCCCATGCCATGGAGAAATACTCAGCAATAAAAAGAATGAACTATTGGGGCACCTGGGTGGCTCAGTCAGTTAAGCGTCTGACTCTAGATTTTGGCTCAGGTCAAGATCTCATGGTTCATGAGATCAAACCCTGCATCAAGATCCGCATTGGGCTCTGCACTAACAGGTTTTTTAAACCTTAAAAAAAAAAAAAGAAAAAAAAGAATGAACTATTCATATCAATAAGAATGTGGATGAATCTCAAAATAATTATGCTAAAAGAAAGGAGACAGAAGAAAGTGGATGCTGTATGATTCCACTCTCATAAAATTATTTTAAAATACAAAATAATCTATAGTAAAGAAAGCAGATTGTCAGTTGCCTAGAGATTGGGGTGGGGGTGGGGAAGGGTGTGTGGGAGGAATTTTAATGGAGTGTGAAGAAACTTTTCAGGAGTGATGGGTAAGTTCATTATGTTGATTGTGATGAAGGTTTCACAGGTTTTTATGTATATCAAAACTTTTATACTTAAAAAATATACAGTTTATTATATGTCAATTATATTTCAGTAAAGTTGTTAGAAGCAAATACCAGGTTATTGTTCTTTGTTGTGGAGAGTTGGAACAGGAGTAAGTTTATGCGGAGAATGAGAAAGTACAAAAATTTAGCACTCCTTAAACATAGGAAAAAACGTCCCTGAATTAATTTCTTTTAATCTGATTGGTTTTGTTGTATTCTATTTGACAGACTAAAATGCAGTATAGCCTTAATTATTTGGGGTTTATTGGATTGTTATACTATTTAAGCTTTTTGTTCATTGTCCTTGGATTTCTCTTGGCCAACGAAATCCCCTTCCATGAGGTGTTTGGGGGAAATTAAAGGAACTGGAATTCAAACCAAGCTGTTTCTTCTTGTTAACAGCTATTTGACAAAAACTCAGATGAGAACAAATTAAAACTATTGACTGAAATTAGATACTAATATTAGCTGTAGATTTTAATTTTTCTTTCTACCCCAATCACTCAATCGCATGTGTGATTTAATTCTTAAAAGGTTTGATTAATTCTGATAGGAAAGTTAAAGAGATTAACATAAAATTGGAGCTTGTAATCCACAGAGTCAGGTGAAATTGTCATTTGAAATCATAGTTACCTCAAACACAAAGATCATGAAAATAAAACGAGTTCCAAAAAAAATGTAGCTTATCAATGATCATTAAAAAAGAAAGTTGTAGGGGCGCCTGGGTGGCGCAGTCAGTTGAGCGTCCGACTTCAGCCAGGTCACGATCTCGCGGTCCGTGAGTTCGAGCCCCGCGTCGGGCTCTGGGCTGATGGCTCAGAGCCTGGAGCCTGTTTCCGATTCTGTGTCTCCCTCTCTCTCTGCCCCTCCCCCGTTCATGCTCTGTCTCTCTCTGTCCCAAAAATAAATAAACGTTGAAAAAAAAAATTAAAAAAAAAAAAAAAAAGAAAGTTGTAATCTGTAAACTTCTCATTTACTACCTACCTCTCTGGCTCGACAAAGCTGTGCGTGCTCAATTCTAGAGATGACATTCTGCACTGCCAGTGGGATCTCCAGCTTAGGGACCTCTGATTTATACAGGGCTTTTATGGACGTGATGGTGGAATCCACTACTTCTTTGTCTGATTCAGATTCAGTGCCTATCCCACTTTGCATTTTGATAACTATATTGAAAAGTTGAGTGATTTTCTTTTATTTCTTCTCTTCACCGAGTATAGGCAAATGATAATATCCACGAGGAAGCTGGAAGAGGTCTTTCCTGCTCCCAGAGTTTGTGGTCTACCCTGTCACTAATTGGTTGTTAACCATGGTATTCCAGTCCTGGTGATGTCATAATAGATCCATTGTGTCTTCAATAACTCAAACATTTCAAGAGTGCTTACTGTATGCAGAGAAGTAGGCATTCTATATGCTGTGATTGGGTGAAGGGGGTGGGAGGGTAGGAAAGAATAGACAACAGGAACGCTAGAAGAAATAGAAGATACAGTCCTGCTTAAATAAGCTTAAAATCTGGGTGTTAGAATTCAAGATCCAGTATGTCAAATGCAACTCCTGATTCTTCTCTCTTCCTGAGATTTTGCTTAAGAATTTTTAAGCCTGTAATTGATTAGGTGTGCTACAACTTCTTCAGCTGCCCCTCAACTTGTCCTAGATCTGTAATTTGGAAGATATTGTTTGGATGAAGATCCCACTCTTTGCACTGCCTAGTTACTCATTTTTTCCAGGAACTTGACTGAAGATTTTGAAATTCCATAGTTGGCTGGAGAAATTGAAGGGAACGCTGGATGCTGCTTTGTAACTGGGAGAGGGGTACTCTGGGCAGCTCTGGGCAGCTCCTTTGATTGCGGAGGAGGTGAAAGGATTTAGGACCCTGGAGCAATAAAAGGAGAGGGTGGTTTTGTTGGCTGTGTAGCTTTTTTTTTTTAATTTAAAAAATATGAAACAGTACAGAAAGTAATATAACAAATAGCCACGTGCCTATCACGTAGAATGAACAAATATTAACTTTTTGTAATATTTGCTTCCGAAATTTTTAAATAAAATTAAGCATTGGAGCTAAAGTTGGAGTCCCTTTTGGTATTCTCCATAGACTCCTTGCTTCCCCTCTGCCACTTTTCAGAAGCAATGACAGTCCTGAATTTGAGGTATTTGTGTCTAGTCTCTGTTTATACAGTTTTATTATGTAACTAGGTATAGGTATTCATTAACTATCTAATATCATTAAGATTTTCTACAAATTATGAATGTATAAGTTAATTTCTCTACAGGAACTTCCTATGTTGAGTTCTTGGTGTAAACTTGTAAATTTAAATATGTGTTTCAGTCCTTCAGAAAATGGGAAGCAGGGGATCACAAAATAGTTGTCTTTTAAGAAATCAATCAATATGCAGCAAATTAAATATTTTCCCTTCTAATATCCTGCTAAGTTATCCCCTCCTCTGTGTTCCCAAAACACTTTGTAAATTTTCTATTATAGTACTTATCTCATTGAAATGTAACTATTTTTGTCTCTGTCCATTAGCTGGTGAACTTCTCAAAACAAGATGCTGTGTTTTAGTTTTGTGTGTGTGTGTGTGTGTGTGTGTGTGTGTGTGTGTGTGTGTGTGTTTAACACTTGACATATTCTTCCTCAGTTTCTCTGCAGAAATTTTCTAAAGTTTGGATATTTCTTATAGTTTCAGATTCAATTTCCATGGAAATTTTTCTAAGCCCCAGAACACTTTCTTTTATTGTTAGACTGCCCCCCCATCATAAAAATTACTCCCTCCTTTTTCATAATCACAATTATGTCCAACAAAATTAATAATGTTTTCTGAAAGGAGTACAATTAAGAATTTTTAATAAATGTGAAGTTTGATTAAAATATCCATGATTATCCAGCATTTCTTGAAATTATCAATCTAAGTACTTCATTGATAATATTTGATTTTGAGATCCTCAAGTAACTTTTATTTCTTGTGACTTTTTTTACGTTGCTTACTTACCCCAGCAGGCATTCACAAAGCAGCCTACATGCGTGTCAACTAAACTAATTTAGGATTATTGTGCTCTCTCCCTCTCTCATATTTTTTATGCAGCATGGACTTCATCAGCAACTGGAAATGAAAGCTTTTTAAAGCAAAGTTTAAAACCTCTCTTCTTCCCTTTCAATTTGTCAAACATTTGTTGAAAGATACTACTATGTAGCCACTATTATCTCAGACTGTGAAGAAAAATGATAGGGTACCTGTGAAGAAACTAAAAAAGAAAACAAAACAACAAAAAAAAAAAAGAAGAAGAAAAGAAACAAATTTAAGATAGAATATTTGAGCACTAATAAGGGACATGAAGAAGAAAGAGAGCAGTGTCTTTGGGAAAGCCCTATGGACAGAGAAGGTGATTGACAAATGAAGACATTCCAGATAGTGAAGACACCTTGAGCCATGGCTTTGGAGGTGAGTGTTGGGTTTGTCCTTCAGGGGAAAGGTGAGGAGATTGATTTTATTGAGATGAAGTAATGTTGAGTTTACTGTGGATCAGATTAGGGAGAGGATGGGATACAAGTATCAGGAGTTTGATGGAGGAATTAATTTGGCATCTAAGTGAAAAAGGGAGAAGATTCATTTGAGGTAAAGTAAGGGAGATTACATGGGGTCAGAATGGTAAGGTCCTGAAAGCAAGTAACAGCAGTTTGGTGAAAATGAAACTAATTTAGAAAGATTTTTGAAATAATAGACTGGAAAAAATCAGTGGAAAAAAATCAACACATAATTATTTCAAAAGTAAGTGTCTGAACTGGGAAAAAGAAGTAGGACTGATAGGGAGGGCTAAAGCTTATTAGGTATTGCTCAAGATAAAAAGGAATTTGGATCATCTAACAGAAAAGTATAAAGATGATTTTTTAAATTTTGTTTTTATTGTACTTCATTTAACATGACAGAATATTAATGAAGAGGCTATCCATACTAAGTGTTAATTAAGTAGCATAGATGTGGATACCTGATGTAAGTAAAGCGCAAAGTTCTTTAAAGGTGTGTCTAGGGGAAACCCGCCCTCCTAGAGGGTTCCTTCAAGTGTAAAAAAGGGGGGATAAAACCTATTGCATAAGATCTTTTTAAAGATTAATTCACATAAGATACCTAGGATAATGCCAGGCACATAGTAAGCTTTTAATATACAGCAGCGGCTATTAACATATTTACTATTAGATCTGCTTGCTTTTTTTTCTTCTCGACTTTGTTTCTGCGAGAGCCACCACCTTTTCGGAAGGATTGGGCGTCTGTCCAGTACCCCTCACACAAACTTGCCTTTTTATCAGATCTAGATTTTGAACTATGAAGACTGCGTAATTGTTAATAGCGGTAGTACCCGTCCCTCTGGCGGGGGATAAAATGCGTAGGATTTTTTCACACCCCCGTGGTACAGAATGGCGTCTTCCTCTGATCGCTTCCCTCCTCCCCCCAGGCCTGATGATAGTACATCCCATCCTGCTGCTGGAAAAGGTAGCGCAAAAGTTGAGCGCGCCGAGGGGGTGTCTCTTCTCCCGGAAGCAATTGTTTTCTAGAACCGGAAACAGTTGCTCTTTCAAGGGAGGTGGGACTGGGCGGGTCGGGCCGCAGCGGCTGACGGCGGGGGAGGAGCCGGGTCCACTGCCGGGTGGAGGGGCCAGGCGAGTGTCCTTATCCTAGCGATTGGGGCTCGGGCCTGTAAGCCCGTTGGAGTCGCGGCAGCGAGAACGATTGGGCCGAGCGGAGGAAGACATGTTGCTCTTCGTGGAGGTGAGTGGACTTGGTAATGTCGCCCAGCTGTGAGGAGAGCAGGAGTGTGGAGGCGCCGGCCGGTCCCACCGCCATGTGACTTTCCAGGCCGTACACGCCGCGGAACCGGCAGATAGGCTGACACAGCACCTGGGCCGTGCAGGCCTGCGGCTCCCCTCTGCGCTCTCGCAACACTTTAGGAAGCTGTGGGAAGTGAGGGCCGTAGTGGGAGAGAACTGAAGGTGGAGAATCGAGGCTTGTCTGGTGTGGCGTGAGGGTCTGAGGAAGGGGGAAATGTCCCATATGGACCTCCGAGAGGAGGCAAACAGGCCGGGAGTATGGGGCGGAGTCTACGGAGAAAAGGGTAATCAGGTGGGCGCGTGGGTGGGGAAGCTAGGTCTCGCGGGGCCCTCTGGGAGGGAAGCAAGCAACATGTGGGGCCGCGGAGGGAGGAAGGTGAAATTCTGTATAAGTATGTTGAAGAGAAAGTTGAAAGCTTCTTCTTAGCACCCCCCACCAAATTTTGTTTGGTCCCCGTCCCTAAGTCTCTGGAACGTTCTGTGGGTGGAAAGCGAATTACTGTGAACGGAGGAGACGCGGATAGGCTTTGGAAGCCTTGAAAGGCACCGCTTTGACCTTTTGTAAAAGTTACTCAGGCAGTGGCTCCGTGATGAGGGGTTGGTTTTATGAACGGATAAAAGCCCTCATACAAGGAAAATTCCAAGAATGAGAACAGCCTAGTCTGGGGAAAGCCGGTTTTTATATGTTGTTTAACAATGGAACTACTTTTATTTTAACTGGAACGTCTGCTGCTGGCCTATTTTGGTTTTGAAGGTGGTGGATACCTGCCTTCCACAAATACGAGGTTTAATTTCTCTTATTTCTGTCTTTCTCTTGTGTGCAGTGAGCATCAGCTGACTGCCTGGCTAATGCTTTGAGTAGATTCCAGATCATATTGTTCTTGCATTGTGAAAACGTCAAACCAGCAAAGCTGCAACTTCGCAACTTGGCACTTGTTAACTATGCCCATAAAAAGAATCTTTTCAATGAGGGAAGGAATTTACAGGTTGTATAATTGATCGAGAAGCCGGGCCAGTCTGTGGCAGGTTTTTTTCTGGAGGGAGGGATGGATCTTACTCCGTAGTATTCTGGCATAAAGTAAATACATGGTTTAATTTTTTTTTTTTTTTAATCTGACAACGTGTAGCTGATAAATTTGAGACCTTTACATTGGGTTTTAAAGAGACAGCTACCTTACAGTATGTCCAGCATTGGTAACAGACATTCATTGGAATATTCCAAGTAAATCATGAAAAGACTTGAAATTACTGAACCTATTCTGTTTACCGTTTTTTATCCTCATTGTAGGATTTTTGTTTTTTAGGGTTTTTTTTTGCTTTTGGGTGTTTGTTTTTTTTTTTTTTGTTTTACAGGATAAGAAATCAATATGATTTTAAACAGTGCCAGTTTGTATTAGGAGCGTTGTGCCATGCAAATGCTTTAGGTTTTAAGTGTGTATGTGTTCTGCTGGGCAAGTGAATGTGAAGTTTTACTTACATGAACATGAATTCCAAAATAAACTTTTGAGTTCCAAATTGATTCCTTTGGCTTTGTTAAAATGTGATCTTTAATAAGAGCTCCGTTTATTGAGTGTTTAAGCTAGCTCCTCTCCTTTCTCAAAACAACTGCAGCGTTTTACAGATAAGAAAACTGAGGCGGAGGGGTGCCTGGGTGGCTCAGTGGGTTAAGCGTCCAACTTCAGCCCAGGTCATGATCCCATGCTTTGTAGGTTCGAGTCCCACGTCAGGCTCTGTGCTGACATCTCGGAGCCTGGAGCCTGCTTCGGATTCTGTGTCTCCCTCTCTCTCTGCCCCTCCCCTGCTTGCACTCTGTCTCTCAAAAATAAATAAATATTAAAAACAAACAAAGCTGAGGTGGAGAGGTTAATAACGTAGAAGTAAAGTAGTGGATTTAGGATTTAGATACAGGTCATTCTAATGTCAAATCCTGTCTCTTATTAAACTGTTACATGAAATTAATAGTTCCATTAATCATTTTCTTTGTGAATCAGTATGTGGTTTTTAATTTTTCTCCTATGAGTTATTGAAAACAATGTCACTAAACATTTGGGGCTGAATATATGGTATTAAAATTAAAAAAAAACTACACACTGGTCATTTTGTGTGTTTACTCATGTTTGATCCTTATAACTATAGGAATAACCTGTAAGATTTAGAAATTATTCTGAGTGAACCAAAGCTCAGTTTGATGTCTAAGGTCATTCAGGTGGGGGGCAAATTATGTGGGGGGCTACAGTCTGAAGTCTGGCATCTAGAACACAAGTCTCTGACTCCAGAACTTATTTTTTGCACTTTCCCATAAGCCAGGGATCCTTAATCTGGGTCCTTAGATAAACTTAAGGAAGTCAGTGAACTTTGCTGAGGAAAAAAAATTGCCTGTTTGTTTTCACTAGCTTCTAATTAAAATCTAGAATTGAAAATAATGGAAATTTCAATGGATGCTATAAGAAATATTTTCATATATTGCAGTTTTTGCATGTATCTTGAAATACTGTTCATTAGTCCTTGTTACTGTATGTTTAAAAATCTTGTTATTTAGGGGTGCCTGGGTGGCTGAGTCCGTTGGGTGTCCCGACTTCAGCTCAGGTCATGATCTCACAGTTCCATGAGTTCATGCCCCATGTTGAGCTCTGTGCTGACAGCTCAGCCTGGAGCCTGCTTCATTCTGTCTCTTCCTCTGTCTCTGCCCCTCCCCCGCTGGTGCTTTTTCTCTCTCTCCCTCCCTCCCCCTCCCTCCCTCTCTCTCTCGCTCTCTCAAAAATAAACAGTAAAAAAATGTTTTTTAATCTTGTTATTTAATGCATCAGTAAAGAAGCACATTTATTACTAAAGTAGAAATTTTAAAATATTTTGGTAACTGTAACATAATTGGTTTGTTTTGTGATTCTGTGCATTTTAAAACTTAAAAAACATATTCTGAGAAGAGATCTGTAGGTTCATTGGACTACCAAAGAGGTCCATGGCCCAAGAGAGGTTAAGAACCACTTTACTATAAACCAGGTTGCTTATGGATCATCTCTGGTTGGACTTCTCTAATCTGGAATCGGGAGTCCTTTGCAGTTGTGTTCAAAATTTTGTGTGCATTCTTCTTGAAAGACCCTAGCTTAACTAATTTATAACTGGAAAATAAATGGGATAGATAATAGTAACGATAGTACCACTATAATAATAGTGGTGTACACCTTTGTTGTGCTTATTGTGTGTCAGACCTATTAACTGTTTTTGCATGTATACATTTGTTCAAACCTGCCTGTGAGGTAGGTAGAATTGTTGTCTCCATTTTAGAGATAAACTAAGGCACAGAGAATATAAGAAACTTGCTCAGGATTATACAGTTAGTGAATATTGAAGCTAGAATTAGAATCTAGCTACACTGCAATAGAAATCTATAGGCAGACAGGGAATCCTATTTTAAGTAGCACTTAGATGTAACTTTTTTTAAACTTAGTCTTGCAAAGGGCTGTATTGACTTAAGTAGTTTATTGGTTTTTTTCTCTGTTCTGAAGGAGACATACAGTGTCTGGCTTTCTGAGAAGAGGTAAAAATGTTTGGATAACTCATAAATAAACATTTAAAAATTTTGTCAACAACAAAATGAGGGGGGCCTGGATGGCTCAGTCAGTTAAGTGTCCAACTTTGGCTCAGGTCATGATCTTGCGGTTCGTGAGTTCGGGCCATGCGTCAGGCTCTGCTGACAGATCAGAGCCTGGAGCATGCTTCAGATTCTGTGTCTCCTTCGCTCTCTGCCCCTCCCCCACTCACGCTCTGTCTCTTTCTCAAAGATAGATAAAACATAAAAAATATAAAAAATGAAAAAATAAAATACAGATAACATAGGGGCGCCTGGTGGCTCAGTCAGTTAAGCCTCCAGCTCTTGGTTTTGGCTCAGGTCATGTCTCACAGTTCCACTTGGGATTCTCTCTCCCCTTCTCTTTCTGCCTCTCCCTCTTGCATGCTCTGTCTCCCAAAATAAATAAACTTTAAAAAATAAGTGAAATATAAAATACAGAAAATCGAATTATCATAACCATTGTCAAGTGTATGTAGTTCTGAGTTGCTAAGTACATTTACATTGTTGTGCAGCCATCACCATCCACATCCAGAATTCATCTTACAAAACTGAAACTGTACACATGAAACAATAACTGCCCATTTCCCTCTTTCTCCAGCTCTTACATAATTTTAAAAATAATTTATCTGATTCCTAAAGTTTTTTTCTTTTTTTAGGTAATATTTTAAATTTTCGGTTAACCTTAGAATTTGAGATAAGTGGGATAATTTACCTAGGTACTTTTCATTTGTTTTATAGTAATCATAATGTGCCTTTCTTTTTTTTTTTTTTAATGTTTATTTTTGAGAGAGAGAGAGAGCACACAGGCGAGTGAGCAGGGAGGGGAAGAGAGAGGTCGGACACTTAACTGTGCCACTCAGGCCCCCCATAATGTTGTGCCTTTCACCCCAGATACAGTACTGTTTTTTCCTGTTAATTTAAATTTGTCTATTAAAAGTTATTAGATGACTGAAAATGGTTTTTTAAAAAATGACTCAGAAGAAGAAAGTGCCTAAACAAGTTTTGAAATGATTGCCAAGAGAAGTTATAAATAAGTGAATAGTGGTTTTTGAACAACTTGGTTTTGGAATATTTATTGGAGGTAGATGCAGAATTTAAACACGAATAAAAATATTGTCAAGTAGAAATATTTTCAGATGCAATGGACTGAAAATGAAGTAGGAATTGTTGAAATGTGAAAAGTAGAATAAAATGCTTAGAAATGAACATAAAGATGTAAAAGTACCTTATGGTGCTTTAAATTACAATGAACTGGTTCACAGTTTTCTGAAAAACTAGAAGCTAGGGATATTGATATTCAACTATTTTGTATCAGTGTGGGTTTGTTTGGGCTATCAGGCAGTTCCATATTACTTCCCAGCTAATGGAATTGATCCTTAATTCTAGATGTGAACGTTTTTCAAATCTGTGATTTTGCTCTTCTACCTGGGAGCTTAAAAGATTTT